AAGTCGTGGTACATCTTGTTGCTCTAAGGATTCATGGTAAACGTGGTTTCGTGAGCCTTGCGAAGTAGGAGATCCTTCACGTCACCACTCGAAACCACTAGACGATCAAAGTATAGTGGTACATCCTCATCACGAACAGAGAAGTCTTGTCTCTCCCCCATGGAGACAAGCTCGCGATTCTTTGTGAAAAATTTGTGGTCGCGTTGTGCAATGATAATCTAATTCTCTAATGTCTGGCATGGGCAGCTGAAAACCATGGTTTGGCGTTAAGTCTTCCTACAGCGATGTTGGCTTATAGATATCGCTGTTGAGCCAAGGTTGGGCTACTAGAAACATCTGGAATAGCGTTGTAGACCTTTCTACATTGATGTCCAACCTAAGCAAAAAAGAAATGCCTTTGGCAGAAAGTTTTTGGATAGCGCTGTTGACCTAGAAACAGCGATGTCAGGCCATTTCTTCATTTTTTTCAAAGTTAGGCCTGAACAACAATGTTCAAGTAATGAACATCAATGTAGGCACCTGACCGTTGGAAAAAATTTATGGCTAAAACTTTCCATATTTGGAAGTCAATAGCCAAAACAGCGATGTAGGTGTTTTGGACATCGTTATTGGCTTTACCGTTGCTTCCCAATTTTCAAAAACTAAGCCTAGAATAGCGATGTCCAAGCCATGGACAGCGTTGTCTAGCTGATTCTCAGTAGATCCAATTTTAATCAAATCCAACAAATTATGCCAATCACCCCCATTCAATTCCTACCCGTTGGAGCCTATTTTTTTACTATAAAATGGGGTGTTTGGGTCTGCTTTACACATCACATTACTTCACAACTCTTATTCTTCATTGCATTACACTCATACATTATTCATAGTTTTTCGAGAGCCATTTTTGTGAAGTTCGTGTTATGTTCTTGAGTGTTTTTAGTTACTCATTATCCACTTTAAAAGAGAGTATTATTCTTGAGTGATTTAGTGTTCTTAGACACTTGATAAGAGAAAATCTTTCTCTTGAGTAGTTCGAGTGAAGGGTTGTTTCCTTCGAAGGGTTGTGGAGGTTCGTGTGACTCGAACTCTCAAGTTGTACGGGTTTGTTAAGCACCGTTAAGCTTAACGTTGATAGTGTAGCTCGAGAGAGTCTCTTGGGAGGCTGGACTAGCCACATGTTGTGGTGAACCAGGGTAAAAATGGTGTGTAACGCCCCGAAACATACCCTAGAATTATTATTAAATAATTATTCGATTAAACAAATTTGTTGTGATTATTATTGGGCTTTGGGCCGATATGAAATATTTTTTTAAATATCCAATATCAAAATCTGGATAAGTCTAATCGAGATAAATCCAATATGTGGACTATTTGTGTGGTCTTGATTAGGAACCTGAGTACAGACCCAAATCAAGAATAAATGAAGAAATTAATTATGATGTGAACATTAAAATGATTTATTGAAATAAATGATGAGAATAATTAATATGAATTAAATGTGAAAAACCTTTTTGAATAAAGGTCAAATAAACCAATTTTGACTCTGTCAAAGTCAAACACTCAAAAATATGATGTCGGAAAAAGTATTTCAAATAAATATAAAAATTATATAGTTGGATAGAATTCGACTGTCTGATCGCAACGGTAGAAACGGATTTCAATTTGGAGAAAGTTGGACCAAAAAGTGTACCCCGACTGGAACCAAAATTGGTCCCAATCAGGGACACTGTGCGAACGGCGCCTCCTCCTCCACTCAGCCGATTCCTACGTAGAAGCATTTCAATAATGTCCTCTTCCCCTTCATCAACTCCTATATAAGGAGTACTCAAAACCTTCAAACATGCATCATTTTTTCTCAAAATTAGTCCATATAAATCCTGAGAGTGAGGAGAATGGTCTGGTGTTGTTGATTGTTGTTGAAGTCGCCGGAGCTAACCACAAACATCGCCGGAAGTTTCGCTGGAAAATTTCCAAAACCTCCGTTAAGCTTCGAAGTAAGCCCGTAGATATATCTAATGACTAGAATGCTCATATAGATCGATTCTACGTTCATAGATGGTCATTTAGTTGAGTTTTGTGCTAGACATGCTTGAAGAACTAAGAATCATAAACCATGAAATTGATGTTAAAATTATGAATTAATGATGCTAAAATGATCCATGAACCTTGGAGAACATTTTTATATACTTTAATTGAAGTTTGGTGAGTAAAAGTGACATTTCCGCAATTTGGCTCGAGGTAGAAGACGATGGATAATCGATTATCAACTTGAAAATCGATTATTCATCGTTCTGCAGATTTTTGTAACAAAGCTGAGCAACAGTCGATTATCAGAATGTGATAATCGATTGTCAGCCCTCTCTGAAGTTTGATAATCGATTATCAGAGTGTGATAATCGATTATCAGACCATTCTGAACATCAGACAGTAGATTATCAGAAGTGACAGTAGACTATCACCCTACACTATTGAAGAAAATGAAGCTAATAGCTAATAATTGAATTTCCTATC